GATGGATGGATGGATGGATGGATGGATGGATGGATGGATGGATGGATAGATAGAGATGGATGGATGGATAAGATTCGCAAAATTTGTTTGAAGCGATTCCTCTGTCCGAGATAATTCTTTTCGGATTATCAAAAATATATAACAGCTATTTAATTAAATTTATATAAAACCTCTGTTAATCTAGTTGATCGTATCCCGAAAAGCCATACAAATTTTGAAAATGCATCCACGACTACAAAAATATGACGATATCTTTTTTTAGTTGAAGACTGTGGTCCAAGATGGTCAATATGATAAATTTTGATAGAATTGTAAGGAAAAGTAGAATATAACCGGGTACCCCTCTTTTTTTATTTTTATTATTTATTAAACCAAAGAAGGAGTATACATTGGCCAACCTAAAAACGCAGCCTATTGGTTGACCGGGTATCTCTATTTCTTCGTGACAAGTGCTGCTGTCCTTGGTTAAATCGTGTTATTAATAGTGTTAATGCCCACGTGCGCATGATATTTTTCTTTGGGAGAAGTGCAAAGTTTTCGAACCAGAAAATCGACATCGGGGCAATAATAAAACAAGCCGTCGTAGACTCTTTCTACACAGAGCATCTGTATAGAAAAATTCGGTAAGTGCAGCACTACATTCTGTATGTATTAGAAAGTGTATCGCACTAATTTTGATCTTTACTTTGTACGGCAAAATGTACAGCCGCCGTGTTTATTATTCTTCTCGTGTTGAGGCAAAACCGAGTAGGGGAGACCGGGACTAGAGGACACACGGGTAAGTTGTCACAAAGCTTATATCTCACTTAATAGATGAAGTGGCATATTCTTCTCTATATTATAGATAGCTCCTATATCGTGCTAGTCGGGTGTACGAAATAGCTCGTTTCAAAAATATCGCATGCGATATTTACGAGCACTTTTTAAAAATTGGATGTGATAAGTAAACTATTCTTACCTCTATTTTTATTGTCTAGTTGGTTTTTGGAATTATTAATCGTAATTTCTTTTTAGTCATAGGAAATATTATAGTTTTAGATAATTTCCCCTGTATTTAGTTAATCGTCATTACAACATAGTTTATAAATATAATTTTCTTTGTTCAAAATGACCGTTCGGGGTAAGTGATCTCAAATGACATGGGATTCAAAGTTTATGAGAATTGCTATTCTTTTTTTTACTCTAAGTTTATGAGAGAATTGTATTATATTACAAAAGTTTATGAAAGTTATTAATTTTTCGTTTAATTCATGCTGCAATATATTATTGAGTTAAATCTACAGAAAACTGTCACTGACTTTAATAAAATATTAAAACAGGAACTATTTGTCGTATGTTTTCTCTATATGAAATATTCGTGATAACCAATCCGGAGTCATGTGACAACCAACCCGGGGTATGAGGTAAATTGTCACATTTGCACGATTCTACTTAGAATTATATAACTTTTTTGTGTATGAATATAAATAAGTAATATTTTTTTTCTATTTGTCGTATGTTTCCTCTATATGAAAGATACGTGATAACCAATCCGGAGTCATGTGACAACTAACCCTAAAAAATGTAACTGCATTATAAAGTAGTAGTACGATATTATAAAATATTGCTAACATTTTTTTTTTAATCAGAGTTTGAAAAGTGTGACAATTAGCCTTAGTTTCTCTTTTATTCCGGATTTGACTCACATCTCATACAATGGAAAAAAAAGGATTCGTCTATTATTTGGTGGCAATAATTTTGGAACAATTACTTTTACATTTACTACGAAAAATTGAAATTTTAAACAGCGATTTTAATAAATCGCAAATTTCTACTGTGAAATATGTATAAATTTATGGTAAATTGCAATAAACTGTAGTGAGTTGTAAAAAGTATTTAAAAATTTTTAAAAGTTTCAACAACTTTTTATGAACATTTTTATGAAAATGTAGTAAATTGTAGAAGTTGTAAAAAATGTTTATTTTTACAAAGACTGGTGGCAAATTTCGCCCTTTTCTTAGACCTCGAATTTCAAACTTCTTTTCATGGCAAATAGTACTATTAGATGAAACATTAAGCCCAGTAAAATTTCAAGATGAGCATAAGCACGGTTCCGAAGATACAAGGGGGTGAAAATAATTATTTCCAGTCAGAGTGTATTGTATAAGGAAGAATGCGTGAAAGTTCATGTATTATTGAGGGTATTTTCTGTCGAATGGATCATCTACGATTTATTGTTCAGAGAATGAACGATCTACTATTCACCGCTATTCCATTTATGGGAGAAATCTATCTCGGAGAATTTTTATGCTAGACGAAAATTAAGGTCATATTTAAATCTGGCGTAAAAAAGTCCATAAGAAACGATATGTTTCACGTCGTTATATAATTTATTCTTTGGTATGGACACTTGAAGAGTTTCGTGTACTTTCATGGATTATGAGAAACCATCACTTTCACCCTTTCATATCTACGAAACCGTGCCTATGCTCATTTTAAAATTTCTCTGAGGTTAATGTCCCATCATATAGTGCTATTTAGCATAAAAAAAGTTTGAAATTCAAGGTCCAAAAAATGGGCGAAACAACACATTTTTGCCATCACTCTTTCTGCAACTTTTCCTATAAACTTTTTTTTTAGCAATTTATAACTATTTTAGCAATACTATAAAGTGAGTATAACTATTTACAACTTTCTATATCTTTTTACACAGCATTAAACAAGTTAAACAAGTTTCACGTAAAAGGCATTTAAATTTTTTTTGTCAGTACCTTCCCTGTGATACGTGGCTAATATATTTTTTAGCATTATGAGTTTATACAAGATTTAATACTATTTTTCCTATTTGTATGAAAAAATACAAGTCATATAAAGTTATAATAAATCGTAAGAAATGTTCACTATTTTCTACATTTTACAACAATTATGTTTTAAATTGACATATTCCTTTTAATACTCATCTTCACTTCTGGAAGTGTTTTACTATAACGTAGAGGAAATAAACAGTTTGCAAGTTAATTTAAATATGTTTTATTTACTTCAAAATACTCTACAAATTAAGTACAAAATACAGTTCATTTATTAATCGTGTAAATAACGATAAGGAATTTTACTTACATATTAACAATTATCTACTTGCATAAATATACATGGCCTAATAAGATATAAATTTTAATAAACTTTATAATTTTATAATGTAGATAATATTGAATATAAAATTAAAAAATAAAATATAAAAGAACATAAAAAATATAAAAAATACTTTTGTTATCTTACAAAATATATTTTTTTGTAGTAGATGCAATAAATCACACACATAAAAATAACTAAATAAGATATGCAACGACTTATAAATAATTCTTTTTTGAAAAATGTTGAACATATCGCGTATTTACATCTAAAAAATTGTATTTGCATAAAAACTTTCTACGTAAATTTATGAAAAATTACAAATATGGAACAAATCATATAGTTTAATGTAAAAATTACGTAAAAATAATCTAAAAAGTTGTAATTACATCATAAAGAATTGTAGTTTTCACACAATTTTTGCGAAAATTATTTCTACCAGATTATTTATTCTTACAATAATCGGACAATAGTATATTGTGCACCAAGGGGCGAAAGTAGCGTTTTTCAGACGAGTGCGAAGTTTGCCGCCCGAGCCGAAGGCGAGGGCGGCAAATCACACGAGTCTGAAAAAGCTTTCGCCCCGAGGTGCACACGATATTTTTTACAATATCTTTACAGAAAGTTCGACCTCCATGCCTAGACAGGGTCTCGCTAATGCCGTCCTGGCGTGAAATTGGTCACTTTCGCCCCTCTCTACAGGCATGGAAAGTCGAACTTTCCGTGGAGGTGTTGTGAAAAAATATTTTTTTAAATATCATTTACTTTATGATTTTTACATATAATATTTTATTTTATTTATTCTTTATTTAGATATAAAAATGGCACAAAATTATAAAAAGACTGAATACCGGAAATGGTCTAAGGAAAGCATGGCTGCAGCAATGGAAGATGTTATGAAGGGAATGGGCTGCACAGAAGCTGCTGAAATCCATGAGGTTCCTCTTTCTACTCTAAAATATAGGATAAAAAAAGCTGAAAAGGAAGGTCTGTTTTTTGCCCAGAAAAAAAGAAACTGCTGGTCTAAGGAAAAAATGGCTGCAGCAATCGAAGATGTTATGAAGGGAATGGGCTGCACAGAAGCTGCTGAAACCCATGAGGTTCCTCTTTCTACTCTAAAATATAGGATAAAAAATGCTGAAAGGGAAGGTCTGTCTCCTCCCCAGAAAAAGAGGAACTGCTGGTCTGAGGAAAGCATGGCTGCAGCAATCGAAGATGTTAATAAGGGGAAAATGAACATACCAAAAGCTGCTGCTTTCTATAAGGTTCCTTATGGTACTTTGTACGATAAAATAAAAGAAGCTGAAAGGGAAGGTCTGTCCCCTTTAGAAGCTGCCTCGAAAAAGTTACGTAGTACAACTTTCTTAGAGGCTCAGGAAGAGGAACTTGTGCAACACATATTACTTTTTAAAAAAAGTTTATTTGGCCTCACTTCAACAGATATACAGAAACTCATATTTGAATTTGCTGAAAAAAACAACATTCTACATATGTTCAACAAGGAAAAGGAAAAAGCAGGGCGACAGTGGCTCTACAGTTTCCTCAGCAGGCATAAGCAATTATCGCAAAAGAATTTTGAAGAAACTTCTCCTGCAAGCGCGAAGGGCTTTAAACGTACAGCAGTTCAATTTCAATCATTTTTTGATTTATTAGAGTCTCTTTATAATAAATACCACTTTTCATGTAATGAAATTTATATTGTCAATGAAACGGGCATTATAATAGTGCCAAACAAATCGTCAAAAGTACTAGCTCTGCGTAGAGGAAAGCAAGACTCTTTATCTTCCAGTGAAGAAGTTCTCGTTACTGCTGAGACATGTATGAATGCTGCTGGTGATTATATGCCCACAATGTTTATTTTCCCTAGAAAAAAAGTAGACCTTGATTTGATAAGTAATGCTCCTCGCGACTCATTTGCCGTCTATCATGAGAGTGGATTGATTCAGAAAGTCAGTTTTATTGCTTGGTTCAAGAAATTCATTGAGTTTTCTTGTCCCCAACCTAAAAAGCCGGTGCTTTTGCTTCTAGATGGACACGCTTCTCATACCAAAAGTGTGAAGTTTATCAAACTTGCACAAGAAAACAACGTCATTATCTTGTCTTTCCCTCCGCATTGCATACATTGGTTGCAGCCACTTGACGTATCATTCATACCTGCTTTGATGACATATTATAAAGAAGAGGTGCAAGAATGGCTAACTGATCACCCAGGACAACATGTAACAATATGTAAAGTGGCGGAACTATACGGAAAAGCTTTTTTTAGAGCAGCGGAAAGACAAACTGCTATAGATGGTTTTAAAAAGTCGGGAATATACCCATTGAATAAAAACGTGTTGGCTGATCTTAATGTTCCATCAAAAACCACTGAAAAACCTATGCAGCAGGAAATCCAAGATGATGAGACCCAATCTGTGATATCTGGAAATAATAAAATCCACCCGTCAACATCTACAATGTCCTCGATCCCTATCCCTTCCCAAGAAGAAACAAATATTCAGAAGAGAAACAAGGAAAAAGAAAAAACTGCCAACCTGACTTCGTCTCCCTACAAAAAGCAGAAAATGGAATTTGCCACTCGGAAAAGGAAGTTAGAAATAGAATCTCCTAAAGTTAAAAAATTAAATAAGAAAAAAAAGCAGAAAGACAGCTCATCCTCAGATTAGGAAGAAGCTGAAGCCTGTATCTCTTGCAATAATTTATCAACAATAATCGAGCGCTGGATACAGTGTATTAAATGCAAGGGTGGGCCTATGAGTCCGGCAACAATGTAGAGCAAGAGGATATCTTTGTTTGTAATTCTTGTTTGTAAAGTTCATTTTTTTATTGTACACTGAGAAAAAAATTTCTGCCTTTTAGTAAATATTAGTTTGCAAACAACTTTGATTCTATTTACTAAAATAAAGAAAAGTTTTTTTTTTTATTAGCATATGTGTTTTTCTTAGCATTCACTAAAAAAAGTGCAGAAAAATTTTTTTTCATTGTCAGTGTAATTTGACTAATAGCAAATTCGGACACTTGCACTAGTGCACACTGAGTGCGCACTTGTTTATAATCTATTCTTATATTTAAAGTCGCTTAAATACACATTTACAAATTTTTTAGCCAATAAAACAATCTGTAATATCTGTATGGATGCTGTACAAATCATTTTATAGACTAAAAGTATAATATAATAATTGATTATAAGAACAAGCCTTAGTGCGCACTCACAATCAGTGTGCACTAGTGCAAGCGCCCAAATTCGCTATAAGATAAAACTAAACTTCGTAATTGTACTTTGTAATTGTGACTTCGGTGTTTCACATGTTTTCAACCGATTTTACTCTACCGGTGGATCAAAACCGGATATTTTAATGTCTTCAAAAAATCCTGTTATTCTTGTTAATTAAATCTTTTTTCACATAACGAGCCTTGTTTTCTCGTAGTTCGAGGTTCACTAAAGACTACTAACGGCTTAGCAAAATCTTTTTGCCCTCTGATTTCTTGTAGAAAAACAAATCCAAAAAACCACCCGGTTTTGCTCCACTTTTAGGTATAAGATTTAAATAGCCATCTAGCCTGCCTGTGTTTTTTATTTGCTAAAAATTCACGACAACTTCGAATATTCTTTCGATCGTATTATGCATATTAGGAAATTAATAATTCCGTTTTATTAGTGCTTCTATTTCTTTTTTCAAGTATGTTTGAGTGTATTTTTTTCATATGTTTTATATTTTGAAGACAATAGCGATATTTATATGTCGCAGGCAATTATGCGTGACGCCATTTATACGATAAAAAGTGTCGCTTGTTCGAAATTTTGGAACAATTCAGATTGGATTGTACAGTTATTGGTAATACACACAAGCGTTATACGAGTTGCATGCGTTCTTTTAAATCTTCTCTGATTATCTAAATCCATAGCATTTTTAACCGCAAAGTGATTATTTTCGCGACCACGCCGTGCTATCAGAAATTGCAAACATTTCAGCGCTACTAATTGTATATTGCCATTGTCTTCTCTAAATAGTAATCCGCCTCTTATAACGTAACCGTCGCGTTGTTCTTTGTCCGCTAGCGAATGAGTAATTTATAAGTTCGCATCCTCTCGTTGAACATTCTTTCTTTTAACTCATCTGTTAATATATTACACAGCAGTGGACATCAGTGAATAAACGCATCAACATGTATATTTTTACCTGATATATTTACTATAAAATATATATAATCGAATTTTTCAAGTAGCAAAGCCCATCTAACACGCAGATCTTTCTTATTCATTGTCAACGAAAACACATGGCAATTAGTAACAATTTTAAAGATAATTTTTAAATAAATTCTAAATTTTCGTAGCTATTATTATATTATTGCGAAAGTTTCGCATAGTAATGTATACCTGATGTTGCGCATATAGTCGTCGAGGCATCCCCATGTGTAACTCCGTTTCATTTTCTGTTTATACAATTTCAATACCGGCTTAGTACTTAACGAAAATTTTAATTGATCAAAAGCTTCTGTTTCTTTTGCACCAAACTCAAATTTTGTATCTGTTTTTAGTAAATTACTCAGAGAATTAATTTTTAATAAAAAATTTTTAATAAATTTGCGAAAGTATTCAATTAAACCCCAAAAAACTTTGCACTTGCTTCACGTTTTCCGGCTGCGGAAATTTCATTACGGCTTTGATTTTACTCTCACTAGACATCACAAACGCGCGCTATTTAGCTTTAATATAATATTTTACTGCAATGTTACTATTACACTATTAACCATATAACTGTCCAAATATGCCATGACAGCCGCTCATGAAGTAAGTGCAACGAGAAAACCAATCGGCATCGCGGAAAAACGACAATAATACTTCGATATATTCGAGTATCGATGACATGTCTTTTTTAGAAGAGAAGAAGAAAAGGATATCAAGGATTCAATATCATCGGTATAATCGGTAATTTAAATATATCAGTATGAATAAGTTCGGTATTAAAGTGTATATTTAATGCGAGTAAATTTTGTATAAAAAACTGTTATAAAACAATGTAAAATATACTTATAAAAAATTATATATTTAATATTATTATATACAGTAGGCCCCCATATATATGTGTTATAACACGGATTCACATGTATAACACGATAGAAAAATTTTAATATATTTGCTTATTTTAAAGTAAAATTAAAAATATATGTTACTGGTACATTTTTAATATTTATTTTACATTTTTTATAACAAACTTTTATATTTTTTTTATAAATATGTGCTTCCATATGCATATATAATCTATATATGTAAAGATACCTGAATGATAGCGATAACATTCTTGTGAAATTTTAAGTGTATTTAATGAAGAAAATAAAGTACACACAAGAGAAGATGTTAATTGGCCAACAGACGAACGAGAACTCTGCTTGGTCGTGATTAGTTCGCCGATCACATTCGAGGTATCACTAAATCGTTTAGCAGGTTACTCGAATGGAAAAGCGTTTATTGTTTGTCAACTGTTTTTATTTGGTTAATGTTTAGAAACGCCGATGCCTCGCTCGATCTGTCTTATCTTAATATTTTGCGATTGTAATATTTCATTTTTACAATAATATTTCTATACTCAATTGTCTTGACCATAGAATCTGAATATAGCTTTTGGTATTGTCACAAAGTTCTTAAGAGAATCAAAATTGTTCTTAACCGCGGTTTTATATAATGCACGAAAAGTTGTGCATTAACTTTCGGGCAGATCATGCGTTTTCTATTTCCAACTTTGACTATTTTTCTGTTGGCAGAAACTTGCGCTCGTCGTAGTGCAACAGAATTGTGGAAGATATGTGTATGCATTTACATATAACAGAATAGTGCAAGAAATGCGGCAGATGCTTGCGCAAATCGCAGTGCAACATAATCGCGCCAGATTTGTAGCATCGCCTACTGCTACCCATACAGCATAGCACAAAATATTTAAAAAAATTTTTTTTAGGAAGATTAAAATAATTTACAAAAATATTTTTTATATTTATAGCACCGCAGTGGTGTTGGGTAAGCCTTACGTTGCATTGCTGGCGAAGATATTGTCGCGAATGTCATGATTTTGCTTCGCCGAAGGCTTGCTTTTGCTTATATTAAATCTCAACTGAAATTTACTTACGAGTTAGTTTTACCATTATGCGCCGCCTAGCGGCATCGTTGCAAACTAGCACACTCAGAGAAAAAATTTGTACCAGCAACTAGAATTTTTTTTGTTAAAACGACTAGAAATTTGTGGATAAATAGCGCCTCAACTATGTATAATATAGTTGTAATAACAACAATAAATAAATTATTTAAACTACAAGAAAGTAATGGCATTAACGAAAAACATATTGTGTATGCAAAAAGTATGTTGTAGTAACATGAATTATTCATTTTAGTGATATCAACATAATTTTTAGAGTTGTCTAATAAAGAATAATTTTTTATTTGTTAAACTAAAAGACAAAAGTAAACATTAAGTGAAAAATCACTACATAAAAAATAAGATTTTTAACGTAAAAAAGAATTATTGTATAATTAATATACCTAGGCGACTAGCGCCTGAAAATATCTGCTTTGGTCCCGTAGGGGGTCTCCTTATATACAGGTCGGTGCGGAATTTTGAACTCGAGAGAATGTACGGGCAATGCGACGCCTAGCGGCGTCGATGCAAACTGCCGACTTTACAGTTACCGCGCGGGCGAGTATTACTGGTTACTGGTGGCGTGAGCCGCCACATATATCATACATATTTATAATCCAAAATCGATTAATATATATCCCTTACAAAAAAGTATTACTGACTAAATACTTAAAATCTCAGTGATTTAATACTGTCAATATTTATTTGGGAAATACTGGGAAAATACTGGTAGTGATAAATATTATAGGTAGTGATTAATACTACACAGAACTACTGGTGCTTAGTATTGAATTACTCACCAATATTTCGATTTCCGATATTTACCCGGCATAAAAAAAAATTATTTTTTTTCGAAATTTTATTACTATTTTATAACTAAATTTGTTTCTTAAGATGCAGTTTATAATTATAAATATTTTCTCGTATTTAAAAAACACTTACCTTGGTGGGATCGAACTCGGGACCTCTGGATCGTGAGCCAACTGCCTTACGTGGTAGACTACTTCTTAATTTGATGTAAGTGTTATATATAGTCTATATGTATCATAACCAGCGCAAATATATAATTTTTCAAAAATCATCTTAAGAAACAAATTCAGTTTAAAAAGAGTAATAAAATTTTGAATTGAATATTAAAATGATATCCTCAGTACTATTTCAAAACTTGTACACTTTTATCACGACGAATTAGTACAGACCTTCATATAAAATGTATTTGTGCCTTACTTTTATCTCTTTTCCTTAATATTATCAGGAATTACCCATTATAATGTTTCTATACAAATTGTAGTACTGGTCAGTGATTAATTTTACATGGAATATTCAGTTCAGTACTTGAGTATTAATATTAAAATACTGGCCAGTTATTTATTACACATGGAATCCTTGGTTCAGTACTTCAGTACTAACATTGAAATACTCATCAGTAATTCAACACAAGTATTTATTACACAAGTATTTTTCACCTAGTATTAAATGCTTTCTCATCAGAAATTTAATACTAAGTATTCAATACTCGTCCTGTATTAAATACTACT